AGATAAAAGTATTATTTAAATCTTATAATATCGTAGTAAATTTCATTCACCAACGATTAACCGTTATCTCATAACCCCAGTAGTGTGTCAAGATCCGCAGCTTTTTCTTCATCATTAGTTGGTGATGAATCTTCGCCTACGTTCCGCAACAGAGCTTCACTTGATGCTCGTTTTATTGCACTCTTCAAAAAGATAACCATGATGTTTATTGGTGCTTGGTATTTTTTTTCATTATTTCCTTCATCTTTTTAAAACTTAAGGTTTATAATGCAAGCTGACAAGGCGGAGAGTAACGGGAAATACAAGCAAATCCTGTTAATTTGTTTGAATCTCGATAGCTCGTTAAATTTTCTTAACGATGCAAATGAAAAAATAAAACCTTATCTCATTTATGATGGTGTTTGCTTTGTAATCACTTGAGTTTTTGTGACATTTAGTCACGAAAAATGATCAAGGTTATCGTGTTTTTGATGCACAAAAATGCTTACTAATTGCTTTAAAGTTGGATTCAACGATTTTACTCACCACTAATTGATATTTATTTAATTAAATTCAGTTAATGAATTCTCGTCTTTATTACATGCCATGAAATATGCAATTTTATTGATTGCAAATTAAACTTGATACTCAGCACAATATTATAGCATGCTTAAATTTATTCATATAATATGGTACTTTTAAAATATGTGTTATCAAGAAAATTCCTATTTTTGCACGATCTCTTGAACCTTTTTTTTTTATTTACCACATATTCATTCCACGCAGCTCGTTGCATTGAGATTACTAGATATTCCTGTTCCGCCTGGGTAAATTCTATCAGAAGCTACAGACAGTACAGAGGTAGAATCGTAAAATTCTTTTCGCTGAACCAGCAGATAAGATAACCGCTGATTTCAAGAATACAATGGCGATCGATCGATTCCACTGATCATCTAATTTTCTTCTCAAAGATGTCAGAGTATTATGAGCCATTCAGTTATTTTTTTGATTTGAACAAAATTTTCTTCTTCTTAGGAAGAATGAAAAAGTATGAAAATTGCTTCGATAAATAAAATCTCTCATTTCTTTCCTGAATAAGATCATCATCTTCTGTGGGTTTTTTTCTTATTTTATCAAAATTCAGGTGGCATTATTTTACCTGTGTTTAAAGTTTGTTCACTCGTTTTATATTATATGTTATGTAGCATAAAAGTAAATAGCTTTTATTATGGAAGAATAAATAAATTATGAATGAAAACAAACCAAATTAAAATCTGCTCAGTGGTTTTTGAGCTACAAATGATTATATACACTGGTGAATAAATAGACTTGATACTTTTTTTTTTTTTTTGGAATTAAGTATAATTTTTTGTTATAAAGAACAAGAAATTGGAATGGAATTTAATTTCCTGTTTACTATAAAATTTTTCTCATGTAAAATTAACTTTTAGAATTTTTATTACAAACTTTTAATACTCCACATTGTTTTGTTCATTTATTAAACATTGAAAACTTTATAATAAATTTATATTTTTTCAATTCTTTAAAATATTTAACGAGTTCATCAGTTGCAATAAATTTTTAATTCAGTCTCACACTTATTAAGAGTGAAGACTCAAGATCTCTAAAGTTTCAAATTTATCTTCTAAATTATTAATCAATCATGACTTGGTCCATTTATTTTCAATAAATTTTTTATTACCATTTCTTAGAAGTTAAAAAAAAAAAAAAATGGCTATAAATATAAATATTTAGCATCTTTTGTAAATAATTACTTGTCATTCCAACCATCCAACAACTGGCAATTAAATAAAAGCTGTCGATATAAATCAACTAATTTATATTCCAAAGCAAATAACTCTATAATTAATTAAAGAAGAGAAAAAAAATATTCAATAAACGACAATAGTGTGTTTGCAGGAATCCTAGAGATATTGATAATCAATTGGGAATATTTCTTGAGATAAAAGACACCAAGATAGAGGACTGGTTTCTCTATAACGTGATACTATCGAATCTTATGACGGTATCAATGTAGAAAGAGAAGAGAAAGGGTCAGAAGAGCCGTTTAAATATTTACGAGCCTCGAGCAAAACTATGCAATACAGCCAACAGTTGTGTAACTCTTGAAGTTTAAGATCTCACGCGGTTTTACTTAGCAAGAATCCGCTTACTCTTACTCTTCACTCTTCTTGATATATGTGTGTATTTTTTATCCATTAGCACTAGAATGATTGAAGCATTGTCGTTACATTTGCATGTACACGTCTACGCACTTGGTTATTTTTATTTATCATACTTGTACTAATCGATTGTTGAGTTTTTTACATTCTTTATCATTCAGTTGATGTTGTTGGAGTGTGTAACCTATTACATGTACACCAAGATTGCTTTCTCTTCAGCAAGAATAGCTCTGGGTGTAAATAAGGAGAATTTGAATATTGATAGCAATAGAATTGAATACATTAACTTTGTTATGCATAGTAGGATTATATTTTCACTCTTTATTTTTTTTTTCTTTCAATGTTGGATGTAATAATAGATCATGATGATGTCTGATAGTTTGTTCAGAAAAATCAAATAAAACTTTGAATAGATTGTTGGCTATAGATTGGTGTTGAATCAAATATAATGATAAAAAAGTGTACTCAGATGAGCAATTGATATATCCATAATGCATTAAAAAATGATTTTACTTCTATTTATAACCTTTTTAAAATCATTGGATAGATAAAATGTCTTGAAATAATTAAAATAACATCTAGAATCGATTAAATTGATAATAATTCCTTCTTTTAATTGAGTTTTAGTTCAAGTTACAAGTGCTCTTAAATTATTACTCAGAATGGTTCAAAGTAGAAATTACCTGAAAAAAGTTAGCATCAAGGTTTAGGGTGCAGCCCTAATTCTAGGCAATTTCCATAATTGATCAAGTTTGATTAGTGCAAGTGTCTGAAGGGAGTAGAAAATACGATTGTTCATATAAAAAAAAGAAGGCTTTTAAAATGAAGAGAAATTGTTTTTTTAAATACTTTAAAATATTGATTATTTTTAAAGCTTATTTAAATAAATTTCTCACAAATATTCGACAAATATGCGTTATGTAATCATTACATTTATCTATCAGACTCAAACTTATCAGCCATCAACACTTGTTGACTTTTTATGATTCAATTATGTTGATACGATATTATTTTGACAGATGTTTTAGAAGTTCCTAGAAAATTGGCTTAAAGTAAAATTAAAAAATTACTACAAAAGTCATGGTAATGATGTTTAAATTCAAAATAATTTAAATAATTTAATTTAGCTCTATATGATATTACTTGGCATATGTAATCGAATCACATATTGAGTGATTAATATTGAAATATATGTGCATTTTTTTTTAGCACACATGTCTTTGACTAGTTACGAATATATTTCCTTGGTGTATTTTCATGCATGAATATATTGGGCTTTGTCGTAAAGTTTCCTTGACTCGTATCCTTTCAGTCGGAAGTGAGAATCTCAATTTCAAAATTCCTCTTGAGAGGTGTTCATCTGGCGTGTCTGCATCTAGTTTCCAAATCTGTGGCTCGTACGCCCTTTCGCCTAGTGTTCTACTCATTCCCCATGCGAAATTGGTTTGTAGGGCGCATATATTCGAGGCTTGTCACAGTTGTATATAGTTTGCAGCAGTCGCGACAGCTTACATCTCTTCATTCCTTCCAAATATCTCTGTCTCTCTCACACTTTCTTCAAGCACCATGGTGACATTTACGTTCGACAGTTGCCAAAGTAAAGATTTTCCCTCTTCGTCTTGTACAAAAAGAGCTTGCTGTGATGTCGATGCGGTCGGATATCGATCGAAGCTGCTGACGGGTAAATTAAACTCGGTTTACCAACGTTTCCTCTCTTGGATCCTTCTCTGCTTTCTCTTGAAGCGTCCTTTGTGACGTTTCCTTTCTTCACCGCACCATATTGTGCCGAATGCCACTACCGGAAATATGTGAGACCCGGCTAAATTCTCCGACTTTTGACGCCCTACCCATCCATTTATTCCTAACAGTTTTGATAAATTGATCAACCTCAATTAGGTCCTGAAGAAGGTATTCAAGATTAATTTATTTTCAAAATTGCTTCTTTTGTTTTAATTTTATTCATTTTGTTGGAAGACTATTCCTAAAATGTCATCAGAGTATTCATGAAATATGAGGTTGGCAAAAAGATAGTGAATTACATTTAAAATTTAAACATTAGAAAATGTAGAGTATCATGATGTTACTATAATGTCTCTGCTCTGGAAGTGGATACAAGTCAATGATACACATGATGACTGCACTGGAGATTGAAGTTGGTAGGTTATTAAATAAAAATTACATGAAAAGCTATTCTAGATGTTTCCCTATTTTATTGCCAACCTGATGAAAAAATTTTTTTTAAATGTAATTTAGTTATTAATAACAGAAAGTTAACAAACAAAAGCAATACTTTGTAATAAAATTGTAGGACTTATTAATTATTAGAATTTTGTTGAAAAAAAGTCATTTAAATTTTTATTTATAAAATAAAAAGTAAATTCTTGGATATAGAAATATTGGAACTCATATAAGCATGAAAAAATTCAAATTTACTTTTATCTGAATCAAAAGTTATGGATGATGTATCTATATATTGTACCAAAACACAAATCTATTCACTATTTTCACAGTTCATAGTTCAGATATTCATCATATCTCAAGAAAATCGTTAAAGCTCATTTCCAAATAATCATACGCTCCAACAAACGATTTTAGTCCGAATTCCCAGAGTCCCCCGTCAAGTTTCGACTGCATCAGTATAGAAAAACTCAATAGACCGAACGAAAAAGGGTTTATAAAAGTTTCCGGAGAAATGTGGTAAAAGAAATAGACGAGAATAGGAGAGAAGAGAAAAAAATAAAATATATTGAGAAAACGATAGTCGTTCACGTGGGAATGGATAGGAAACTTTTAAATTGGACACGAGAATAAAGATTTAATGTGTCTTTACTTTTGCAGAATATCCTGGACAAGTTCAATCCAGGAGCAAGGCAGCTGATCAACGCTGGAAAAGCTTACCTCAAGGCACTTCATGGTGAGTCATTCATTTTTAAATTATTACAATTAAATTTCAGTAATAAAAAAAGAAGTGAGACTACTTGCGTCTCACTTTAAAGAAAAAAATAGATGGGTAATAAGTGATACAATACAGTTGTTTAGAATCTTGAGTTTGAAAGAAAAGAAGAGGATAAAGAGGACTTTTGTTTCCTCTCTTGGGACACTGTCTTGGAATCGAGTGTCAGCTTGCCAAAGTTCCTCTTTAGCCTTTATTCCTTTCACTTTTATTCTTTTACGTATATACAATTTTATTTCCTCCATTTCGTCTCAAGTTTGGAGGAAATGCGACCCCTATCCATCAGTTGCTTTTTTAGACTCGCCATTCAACCCTTGGTAGTTTCTTTCCTTCTCCATATCGCCATTTTTCGTGCTTGCAAGTAAACACGTTTCTATTATACTTTTCAGGACATATTTTTGCCACCCTATTTTCTGATCAGATCTTATTGTTATCGTTTACACTGAGATTTTTTTTTTAAATTGTGTTACTGTGAACTTGATTTTTTTGTGTACATTCAACAATATATTTTATTTTTAGGAATGTCAAGGAATAGTTATTTTATTGGCATTTCCTTGACTTTTGACACCAAATAACGATTTTCTTTATTTAAAAAAAAATGATCATAATGTCTAGACATTTTTTTGTACAATATTTAAAGATAAATACATAAATAATTAGAAAATTCATTCATGGTTAACTAACAATAAAGATGAATTTTTATATGTAATTAATTAATATAATTTAATATATATTTTTTAATAATAAATAATTTAAAAATTCAAAAGTATAAAATTACTTTAAAATAATTTGATATATCCTTTAATAATATTCTAAATATTATAATTCAATGCAGCTCTTGAAGTTAAAAGAATTGATTGATAAAAAATAATGCAAAAAATGACGAAATCAATTGCATTGAAATGAAATCATATGTAAAATTGAAATAAAAACAAAAAGAATTATTGAGTTTTATATTCCTCCAATGTCTAGATTTTTTTCCGTTTATTGTTCTCAAATAAACACTGCTGATGTAGCTCGTTTTATCTGCATTACAAAAAGCTCGAGGGTCGTACGAGAAACATGTGTTTAAATTAGCCACTCTGGAATAGATAAACGCTTTTATAGCAAAAAATAGCTACTATACGTGAGGTGACGTTCATTTTTATTTTATCACGAATATTACACTGATAACAGTTCTTTTTTTTTTTCTTATCTAATAATTGATTCAATTATAGATTTATGCTCATCACATAGACATGTATCAGACTTTGAAGTAGTTCAGAAGTAACTTCTGTTCTTGCCAACATCAAAGTTTGTCAGTCTCGATTGATAGTTGATACTCTTTGCAAATTGAACAGCTAGGATTTTTTGACAATCATTGTCTTCAAATGGCTTTTTATTTATCAATGATCATTAGAGTGAAGTCATGATAATGAACCTTTTATTAATTTTAACTGGTAAGATTTGAAAGAAAAAAAAAAATAAAATGAATGAAAATTCCTAATATTCTAAATTCTTCTCACTTTTACATCTTCTATGTTTACTCTCGATTGCCTTCCCTCCACCTCATTCGTCGCGTGTTAAAGCGATCGGATTTCAAACTGTGGAGCTCACATACCCAGCAGAAAATCTCCTACGTAAGCGTAGCTTAAATCTGGCTTTGTCACAGGAGACGTGCTCATATATGCAGATGTAAATAAAAAAAAAAAAAAACTAGTAAAAACAAAAAAAGAATTTAAAAAAAATAATAAATGGGTGGGAGAAGAAAATCCTTGATATAAAACGGATAATATATTCGTGATATAAAACTGTAGGAGGTGAAGCTTGTTATACGAACAGTACACAAAAGTAAGCACAATATTTATGAGGATTTCTGAAAGCTCGCGAAACATTTATCGGTTTTAAGAGTATCGATCTGAGCTTAAAACATTTATGATTGTCATACACAAGTTGAAAGGGGTTAAGAAGCCATGATTATACATTCACCTCCAAGTATATCCTCTACAAAAACTTTTGTTATTTGTATCTGCAAGATGTTTGCCAGTGAACATGATGTTTTATGATGGTTTTGACTTTATAGACTTATAAAAAGCTGTTTTATCAAATTTTTATTCGAGTGTTTATATAATTAATTGAATAATTTTTCAAAATAACATTTACATAAATCCTTTAATACAAATAAATAAATTTTTCTGTTGTAAAATAATACCATTTATTGACATAAAATTCAATCAAACTAAAATTTGCATGTAAAATAAATTTAATTGATTGATAAATTTATTTAACAGTCCTATTTAATAATGGAAATATATTCATTGTGTAATTTAAAAAGGATTTAACTTAATAATTTTATATCGATACAATATTGTTATAAATACATTCGTGTTACTGACACATGAAGATTGATCACAAGTCGATCAATTCTTAGCTGAGTGATCGACATTTAATAATGATAGATTAGTTAATGCAATCATAATAATCTATATAAATTTAATGTCGTTTACCACACATTAATGATTTAATAATTTTTTTCTTTTATTAAAGAAGCTTTTTTAGTAAGTAATATACTTAAATTTTCAATTTACTTTCAATACTTATAAATGATATTTTTTTTAATACTCTTCATACTGTCAAAGTTCCTCTAAAAGATTTTACTTTTTTTTCAAGACCTAAAATGGAAGTTTTTAGGTATTTAATCATAAGTCAAGTTGTACTGTACTTTATTTTATTCAATAAACTTCAGTGATACCAAGTGGAAGAGCTATAAAACAACAGTATGATAGTAGGGAAATTTAAAATAGAATTTTCCATAAAGAAAATTTCTTTTACGAGTATTTTAATATTTTTATGATACAGTAAATGTATGATTCTTTGATATAAAAAAGCAACTAATTGATGTTATAATTAATTCAATTATTAGTTTCTTACTCAACTGTTTAAAATAATGAATGACTCAATGATGAATAAATAACAGCATTCATTGATAAATAATTCAATTGCTGAAATAATTGGATATTTTGTGCTAGACAAGATTGTCAGTAATTAAAAATAAAAATAAATGATAAAACATGACTGACGAATGTTGAAAGTTAAGATGAATTAAGTTGATTAATTGGATAATATTTAAATGAAATAATGTTGATTGTTATGAAAATTTATAGCATGAGAAAAGTATTAAATTGACAAGAGGGAAACAAGAGCGGAAACGTAAATGTTCGTTGAAAACTTTATCCTACGTTTACATTTCCAAAGCACTTGGTGAGGGGAGTTAGGGCGACAGATAAATTAATTTTATCAGTACAAATTTGATTCGTCTACCGAGAGGTTAATTCGCCTAGTCATTTACGCATCCGTGCGTCACAACGTAGCTTCTTACCCTTCTCACACTTTTCATCGTATTCTCTTTATCTTCTATAAATGTAATTCTATCCCACTTGAACTTAGTACTTGAGTCTTTGTATTCAAGTTTTCTTCTCTTCAACCAAATTAATTCATTCTACAATACCTTAGAAACTTCTTGACGATATAATACGACGGAATCTTATATATACTTTTTTCACTTGTTTCCCTTAGTTACCTTCGTCTGCTATTCCTGAAATGCCTGGCCAATTTATGGAACTCTCAGACCACTTTGAGGCCTCCAGGAAATGTAACCCAAGTCTCGTGAGTTCATTTCAACATCCATGGCGCCTTCAACCCTCTTCTAACCTTCTTTACTGTCGTTTCTCCCTCTTTCATACCACCCACTTCCGATGTGCCGCCTTCGAAATTCGATACTAAGGGAGTAAGAAATCGTTCTTCGATTTAAATTGCTTGAGAATCGTCTGGATAAATCTCCAAATTCGTATTTAAGGGTGAGGCAAGATTGACATCTCGTCTTCGTCATTTCCGCCGGATGCAGTCTCATTTGGAGATGAATAATTTTTCTGCTTTGAAAAATTTTTTTCAACTCCCCCTCAATATTTTATCATTTCTTTCATTCTTTATTTTATCAGTGAGAATCAGAGAAGAGAAGAAATGGCACTAATAAATTAAGATATCAGAAGAAGAATTCTTCTTTTAGAATATTTTTAAATTATTAGGAAAAAGAATTTTGAGAGAAAAAATCAATGATATATTTTTTTTTTTTTAATTCAATAATTTTTCATGAGTTTTGATTTATATTTTACTACCTTTTTTATGTTATAAAAGTGAGACTGTTATCAAAATGTAAAAAAGTTTCATCAAAATTGGTTTATTTCTATTGTGTTTTTTTTTTTTTATGATCAGTAATCATATTTCTTCAATCAAATTCTAATCAAGTAACTGGCGTAAAATGTTTAGTCAAATCGAACTTGTCTAGCTAACGTGTCATCGACAGATTTTTCTCATGCGTTTGCTGCCAGAAACATTCAAACTTTAATTACAACCTGGCAAAAGTGGCAGGTGCTTTGTGCTTTTTGTTACTTTACACACACTGTTCAGAATTACTTTCACATCGTACAGGTCTTTTACACTTGTTTTTAGAGATAGATCAAAGTCCTGAAAGATTGATCGTTGAAAAGATTTTCGAGAGTTTACAATCAGCATTTTCTTGTTTTTAAAGTACATAATAATGTCAGCAAGTTATTGCTTTGGAAATAATGAAGTCAAGATCTTTATCATTAAAGAGGATAGATGAGAAAGGGAAAAAGTTTATTGACTTACAGTTTCATTAGATTTTAAATTTCAATTGAATTAGATACAATAAGGCTTTGAATAATATACTATTGCAGAATTACAAAAACAAGTAGTAGGAATAATTAAAGGCTTTATTTATTCAGAAGAAAGAATGATAAGTAGAATTTTTTATATCTTTAGCAGGAAAGCTCAACTGGTTATTTTTGTCTTAATACTGGGTCAGTCTTTATCAACCATGGTCCAATGTTGCCTTGAAAATAATCAGTCATGCTATCCTACTAGGAATAAATAATAAAGAAATTTTATTTAAAAATTTAGCA